ATTGCCCAGCACATAGTCACGTATAAGCAGGATGGGCCGTTTGTCACTTGCTTGCTGTGTCTCGGCCCTTCTGGCCTTGACAACATATGCGATGATTGAGCCGGCTACCAAGATCAAGTTTGAGGAAACCATTTCTTTGCCAGGAAGCGTTGCCGGCCTTAGTCTTGCCGGTGTGGGTGTGCGTGTGAAAAAGTTGGTCGGACCTTTAGCTGTCAAGGTCTACGGCGTGGGTTTGTACGTTGACAAGGGCGTGGCGGTGAGAAAATTGAGCAAATTTAAGGGCCACAAAGCAGGATCCAAGGCACTATTCGATGCCCTGGAAACTGGAAATTTCGATAAAATTGTGCTCTTGAAGATGGCGCGAAAGGTGGGTGCGGCGACCCTGGTCAATGCCTTGGCAGAAAGCGTGAAGCCTCGCCTCGGAAAGGGCTCGGAAGCGGCGCTTCTGCAATTCCAAGATGTGCTTTTGGCAGGCCTCAAGGGCGGCGAGGCCGAGACCGGCAAGCAGTTCGGCTTTGGTATTCAGGGGGGCAGTAAATTGATCGTGACAATTAACGGAAAGAAACAGGGTGAGATAGCCAGCGGTCCTTTAGCTCAGGCACTGCTTAAAACTTACCTCGACAACAATGCCGTCTCTAAAGATATGAAGGAGTCGGTGGCCCAAGGGCTACTGACGTGGATCAATCTCGTGAAGTAAGACGTTTCAATCGACATCAAGATGGTTCTGTCTCTCGGATAGGGAAAAAAAAAACTGAAAAGAGAGTAACAGAAGAAGGAAAACTCAGCTTTCGGAACGCGTAGCTTTTGATAAGCTTCATTTTTATCCTGCGGCCTTTGTACACCTTCTAAACACAGCCGAAACGATTTTCACATCCCTCGTCGAGCCCTTTCAGAGGGCAACAAAGGCGGAGGGCGGGAAACCCTATTAGGCATGGAGGTCCTAGACGGGGCAGTCGATGCTGTGGCCGGGGACTCAGGGCTAGGGGCCGCATCCTTTACCCGCATCGGAGCAGGGATTTTGTGTGTGGTCCTCGCTGCCGCCTCTACCTCTCTGAAAAAGGTTGGAGGGCCCCAAGAGGTGACCTTATTGACGATCGCGGGGGGCGCGAAGCCCCCTGGGTCGACCTGCGTGACGATCGTGAAAACGGCGTTGTGGGGCTTGCCGGGCACGGGTTGGATGATGTTGGCGCCCATGAGAATCTCAGCGCGCACGTATTTGTCCGTCCGAGGCGCCTCAGGATGCTCGGCTCCGCGGTTGACGACAACGACAGTGCCGTCTTGCAGCTTGCGGTAGTGCACAACTGTGCAGAAGTCTCGAGGTTTGAAGAAAAACATAGGTGGACTGGCCGCCCATACCACCTTGGTGTGTTCGTTGATTGCCTCCAGGTCACGACCTTCCGCGTAGAACTTGTTGTATTCAGGCACTCGCGTATTGTCGGCGAAGAGGGCGAGAATGTCGTCCGGGCTGGCGGCCAGAGTGCCGCTGGCCTTGATGCAGCAGTATTTGGACACGCGCCCGTCCATGGAGGGAAGATTCTTGCGGTGCACGGTCACGCCCTTGGCGTCCGAGACGAGTTCCCATCCGTCTGCCTCTCCTTGGTCCAGGCACTCGAGCACCCGACGAAGGACTTTGTCGTTGAGGGAGTCCGCATACAGGTTGGACTCCTTGCGGGCAATCAGGTCGTCGTAGAGCCGGTTGAAATTCAAGAGCTGCTCCATCACTCGCTTCAGCGTCGCGTCAAGCTCCCCGCGCTGGTGCGACCAGTGCCGCAGCATCCGTTCCTGCTGCTCCCGCAGCCTCTCCACCACGCCTTCCAGCCGCGCTCGCTCGACGCGGACACCGGCTTTCCCCAGCCGGGCCAGCTTGGCTACCTCTTCTTCCCGCAGGCGCTGCACCAGGCCCCGGACTTGGTCGTCTTCCATGAAGAGGCGAGGGAAGACGTCGCTAGAGATGTGCATCATCCGATCAATGTAGCCGCGGACCTCAGCGGTACTGTTCAGGTACTGCGTCATAAACTGCTGAAAAGTCTCGTCCAGGCGGCGTTGCTGCTCCGCCACTTCGGCCTTGGTGAAGGGACCGAGCTTCCGCACCGTTCCCGAGAAGCGGCCCCAGGTGTCGTCGTACTGGCGCTTGAACTGCTCGAGGCTTTGGTTGAATCCCTGCTGGCGACTGCGCAATTCAGAACGCGTGAGCTCTGCCAGGCGCTGCTGCTGCTGGGCAATGCGCTCCATGTAGTCCTCTTGTAGAGCAGAGGCCTTGGCGAGCTGCTTATCCATATCCCTGCGCACATCCCGGGAGGCCGCCTCGTAATGTGTCTGAAAACGTGTTAAAGAGTCATCCAACCGGCTTCGGACCACACGGCGGTAGGAGTCAAGGCTCTCAACGCGGAACTGCCACTCGTCTACTAGCAGACCGACCCAGCGCCGGGGAACCGTCCATCCCGATCGGACACCGGCGTTGTCTGCAGTCGGCGGTGTTCTATTCAAATGTGCGGGAGGAGTGCGGTCGGTTACGGGCAGCGAAGAGACCGACGAAGAAGGATGGTTGGAGGCCCAAAGCGGTACATCTGTAAGACTCGGGCTTTTCATGGCAACAGCCGGTTTGACCTTCGCATCTCCTGTGTTATTCGATCTCATCTTGATTGCTTTGATGGACCTCTCGTTGTCTTTTCCTTTTTGTCTTTCCGGAAAAAAAAAAA